TAATCTAAAACCAAGACAACAGTGCATTAGTGTTCGCAATAAAGCTAACAGAATCCTTGGCTTCATATCTAGAAGTATAAATAATAGAAGTTCTCAGGTTGTTCTTCAACTCTTATCCTTGGTTAGGCCTCATTTAGACTATGCTGCTCAGTTCTGGTCACCGTATTACAGAATGGATATAAATGCTCTGGAAAACATACAGAGGAGGATGACAAAGATGATTCCATGTATCAGAAATCTTCCCTATGAGGATAGACTGAGGGCCCTGAATCTGCACTCTCTCGAAAGGCGTAGAATTAGGGGGGACATGATCGAGGTGTATAAATGGAAAACAGGAATAAATGAAGGGGATGTAAATAGCGTGCTGAAAATTTCCAGCCAAGACAGGACTCGAGCAATGGTTTCAAGTTGGAAAAATTCAGATTCAGGAAGGATATAGGAAAGCACTGGTTTGGTAATAGAGTTGTGGATGAGCGGAACAAACTCCCGAGTACAGTTATTCAGGCTAAAACGTTGTGTAGTTTTAAAAATAGGTTAGATAAATACACGAGTGGGTGTGGGTGGGTGTGAGTTGGACCTGACTAGCTTGTGCTGCTGGGTCTGGTGCCGTGCCCCTTCCTTGAGTGGAGGTGACCAGACTGGGTGGGTCATTGGGCTAATCCAGGGGGAACATGGCCCTGCTCCGCATGGGTCAGTAGGCCTGTTGCAGTGTTCCTTCTTTCTTATGTTCTTAACACAAACTCCATCTTCACAGTAACCCCCCACAGTTCCTCGTCAGGTTGCCCGCTTCCCCAACCCCTACGTACCCCCCCCCCCCAACTAAAGTTTTAGAAAAGACACTGAAGATTTGGTATACACAGATGGAATAATAAATAAATGTGAAGGGTGGCATGAAAGAATCAAGGAGATGTCCCCAGACATCATAGCACTCACAGAAATGAAACTCACCTGCATGATAACAGACACAATCTTTTCACCCAGATATCAGACCCTGAGGAAAGATAGAGGGAGCAGAGGGGAACTAGGAGTTGCACTTCTCATTAAAAACCAGTGGGGATACGAGGAAACAGATGGAATGAGCGAAAGGGACTACATAGGAACAATTCAGTCTGGGGGCATTAAGGTGTTAATTGAAGTAAGGTACAACCCACCACTGAACTGCAGGAGGCCAAAAGAAGAATACGAAGAGAGCAACAGAGTAGTGGACACACTAGTTGAGGTAGCCAGAAGAGCTCACATGGGAAGAACAAAGTTATTAGTTATTGGTGATTTCAATCACAAGGAGAGTGACTGGGAAAACCTGGAGCCACATGGAGGTCCCAAAACATGGATAGTCAAGATGATGGATTATTATTTTTTTTATTAACACACTGGCCGATTCCCACCAAGGCAGGGTGGCCCGAAAAAGAAAAACTTTCACCATCATTCACTCCATCACTGTCTTGCAAAAAAGGGTGCTTTACACTACAGTGCAGACACTGTACTTCCCATCTCCAGGACTCAAGTCCAGCCTGCCGGTTTCCCTGAATCCCTTCATAAATGTTACTTGGCTCACACTCCAACAGCACGTCAAGTATTAAAAACCATTTGTCTCCATTCACTCCTATCAAACACGCTCACGCATGCCTGCTGGAAGTCCAAGCCCCCTCGCACACAAAACCTCCTTTACCCCCTCCCTCCAACCTTTCCTAGGCCGACCCCTACCCCGCCTTCCTTCCACTACAGACTGATACACTCTTGAAGTCATTCTGTTTTGCTCCATTCTCTCTACATGTCCAAACCACCTCAACAACCCTTCCTCAGCCCTCTGGACAACAGTTTTGGTAATCTCGCACCTCCTCCTAACTTCCAAACTACGAATTCTGTGCATTATATTCACACCACACATTGCCCTCAGACATGACATCTCCACTGCCTCCAGCCTTCTCCTCGCTGCAACATTCATCACCCATGCTTCACACCCATATAAGAGCGTTGGTAAAACTATACTCTCATACATTCCCCTCTTTGCTTCAAAGGACAAAGTTCTTTGTCTCCACAGACTCCTAAGTGCACCGCTCACCCTTTTCCCCTCATCAATTCTATGATTCACCTCATCTTTCATAGACCCATCCGCTGACACGTCCACTCCCAAATATCTGAATACATTCACCTCCTCCATATTCTCTCCCTCCAATCTGATATCCAATCTTTCATCACCTAATCTTTTTATCCTCATAACCTTGCTCTTTCCTGTATTCACTTTTAATTTTCTTCTTTTACATACCCTATCAAATTTATCCACCAATCTCTGCAACTTCTCTTCAGAATCACCCAAGAGCACAGTGTCATCAGCAAAGAGCAACTGTGACAACTCCCACTTTATGTGTGATTCTTTATCTTTTAACTCCACACCTCTTGCCAAGACCCTCGCATTTACTTCTCTTACAACCCCATCTATAAATATATTGAACAACCACGGTGACATCACACATCCTTGTCTAAGGCCTACTTTTATTGGGAAATAATTTCCCTCTTTCCTACATACTCTAACTTGAGCCTCACTATCCTCGTAAAAACTCTTCACTGCTTTCAGTAACCTACCTCCTATACCATACATCTGCAACATCTGCCACCTTGCCCCCCTATCCACCCTGTCATACTGAAAACCTCATGTATCAATATGTTAGGGACACTACCAGAGTGAGAGGTGAGGATGAACCAGCAAGACTGGACCTAGTATTCACTTTGAGTAGCTCAGACATTGAGGACATCATATACAAAAGGTCCCTCAGAGCTAGTGATCATGAGGTTCTGAGCTTTGAATACACAGTTGAGTTACAAGTGGAGAGGGTAGCAGGAATAGGATGGGAGAAGCCAAACTACAAAAGGGGGAACTACATAGGCATAAGGAACTTCCTGGAAAAGGTTCAGTGGGAAAGAAAACTGTTAGGAAAATCAGCAAATGAAATGATGGACTATGTGACAACAAAATGCATGGAAGCAGAGGAGAGATTTCCTCCCAACGGCAACAAAAATAATGGGAAGACCAGAACAAGCCCTTGGTTCACCCAAAAGTGTAGGGCAGCAAGAAACTAAGTGTACTAGAGAAAGGAAAAAGTAGAGAAGGCAAAGGACCCAGGAAAATAGAGAGATTAGTCAGAGAGCCAGAAATGAATATGCACAAATAAGGAGGGAGGCCCAGCAACAATATGAAAATGATATAGCATCGAAGCTCAAGTCTGACCCGAAGCTGTTGTGTAGCACATCAGGAGGAAAACAACAGTCAAGGACTAGGTAATTAAGATGAGGAAGGAAGGTGGGGAGGTCACAAGAAATGACCAAGAAGTATGTGAGGAGCTCAACATGAGATTTAAAGAGGTATTCACAGTGGACACAGGAAGGACTCCAGGAAGTCAGAACAAGGGGATTCACCAACAAAAGATACACCAACATGTGCTGGATGAAATACACATAACCGAGGAGGAGGTGAAGAAGTTGCCATGTAAACATGATACCTCGAAGGCGGTAGGACCGGACAGACGCTGTGTGTGCCACTAACAAAAAACTTCAACACATCTACTGAAACTGGGCGACTACCTGAGGTATGGAAGATGGCAAATGTAGTCCCAATTTTTTAAGAAAGGAAACAGACATGAGGCATTAAACTACAGACCAGTGTCACTGATGCATATGTTATGCAAAGTCATGGAGAAGATTATCAGGAAAGTGGTGAAGCACTTAGAAAGGAACAAGCTTATAAACGACAACCAGCACGGTTTCAGGGAAGGGAAATCCTGTGTCACAAACCTACTCGAGTTTTATGACAAGGTAACAGAAGTAAGACACGAGAGAGAGGGGCAGGTAGATTGCAAGAAGGCCTTCGACATGGTTCCTCACAAGAGGTTAGTACAAAAAATAGAGGATCAGGCATACATAACAGGAAAGGCACTCAATGGATGAGAGAATATCTGAAAGGGAGGAAATATCGAGTCATGGTACGTGACGAGGTGTCAGAGTGGGTGCTTGTGACGAGTGGGGTTCCACAGGGGTCAGTCCTAGGACCAGTGCTGTTTTTGGTATATGTGAATGACATAATGGAAGGGATAGACTCAAAAGTGTCCCTGTTTGCAGATAATGTGAAGTTAATGAGGAGAATCAAATCTGATGGGGATCAGGCAGGGATTCAAAGAGACCTGGACAGGCTGCAAGCCTAGTCCAGCAACTGGCTCCTTGAATTTAACCCCACCAAATGCAAATTCATTAAGATCGGGGAAGGGCACAGAAGACCATAGACAGTATAGGGTAGGTGGCCACAGACTGCAAACCTCACTCAAGAAATAGGATCTTGGGGTGGGTATAATACCGAGCACATCTGAGGTGCACATCAGTCAGATAACTGTTGCAGCATATGGGAGCCTGGCAAACCTAAGAATAGCATTCTGATACCTCGACAAGGAATCATTCAAGACTCTGTACACTGTGAATGTCAGGCCCTTATTGGAGTATGCAGCACCAGTTTGAAACCCACACCTGGCCAAGCATGTCAAGAAATTAGAGAAAGTGCAAAGGTTTGGAACAAGACAAGTCCCAGAGCTAAGGAGATGTCCTACAAGGAAAGGTCAAGGGAAATCGGCTTGACAACACTGGAGGGCAGCAGGGTTAGGGGAGACATGATAATAACAAGGTGATGACCCAGATGAGTCAAAGGGATGTCAGGAAGTATTTTTTTCAGTCACAGAGTTGCCAGGAAGTGGAATAGTCTGGACAGTGATGTAGTGGAGGCAGGAACTATACACAGTTTAAAGACGAAGTTTGATAAAGTTCATGGAGCAGGGAGAAGACCTAGTAGCAATCAGTGCTGCGAATTGACCCCTGCAACCACAGATAGGTGAGTACATAAGTGCTCTCTCCCTCACAGTACTACTGTGTCTAACTTGTGCTAGAATCTAACCTCCTGACTTATATGTGATGTTATGGTTAATGTTTCTTGTGATGTTTGCTTGTGGATAATATCTGACCTTCAGTCTTAGAGTAAGACAGGTTGTGGGTAGTTAGTCTGAAGAAGCGAGTTTTAAAATTCTTGATTCCAAATTTTTTTCTTCCTTGCGCTCGCTTGATCATTATTCTGAAAAAATAAGTAAAACATTAGAAAACATTCCAAAATAATGGGTTTTTTACACACACACACACACACACAAGGAGACATCCTCAGACATCACAGCACTCACAGAAACAAAACTCACTGGGTTGATAACAGATGCAATCTTTCCACCTGGATATCAGATCCTGGGGAAAAACAGAGGGAGCAGAGAGGGAGGAGCTGCACTGGTCATAAAAAATTGGTGGGGATTGGAGGAAATGGAAGGAATGAATGGAATGGGCAAAAGAGACTACACAGTAGGAACAATTCAGTCTGGGGGCCCTAAGGTGGTAATTGCAGTAATGTACAACCCACCACAAAACTGCAGGAGGCCAAGAGAATATGAAGAGAGCAACAGAGCAATGATGGATACACTAGCTGAGGTGGCCAGAAGAGCTCACATGGGAAGAACAAAGTTACTAGTTATGGGTGATTTCAATCACAAGGAGACTGACTTGGAAAACCTGGAGACACATGGAGCTCCCAAAACATGGAGAGCCAAGATGATGGATGTGGAACTGGAAAACTTAATGCATCAACATTTTAGGGACACTACCAGAGAGAAAAGTGAGAATGAACCAGCAAGACTGGACCTTGTATTCACCTCGAGTAGTTCTGACATCGAGGACATCACTTATGACAGGACCCTGGAGCTACTGATTACATGGTTCTGAGCTTTAAATACATCAAGTTACAAGTGGAGAGGGTAGCAGGAGTAGGATGGGAGAAGCCAAACTACAAAAGGGCATGAGGACCTTTCTGCAAGAGGTTCAGTGGGAAAGAGAGTTGGTAGGAAAAATCAGTAAATGAAATGATGGGATATGTGACAAGAAAATGCAAGAAGGCAAAGGGAAGATTTGTTCAAAGGGCAACAGAAAACCAGAATGAGCCTTTGGTTCACCCAAAGGTGTAGGGAGGCAAAAACTAAGTGTGCTAGAGATTGGAAAAAGACAGAAGACAAAGAACCAAGGAAAATAAAGAGATTAGTCGAAGAGCCAGAAATGAGTATGCACAGATAAGGAGGGAGGCCCAGCGGCAATACGAAAATGACAGAGCTTCGAAAGTCAAGTCTGACCCGAAGCACTGGCATAGCCACATCTAGAGGAAAACAACAGTCAAGGAGCAGGTAATCAGGTTGAGGTGGGGAGTTCACAAGAAATGGCCAAGAAGTATGTGAGGAGCTCAAAATGCGATTTAACCCTTTGACTGTTTCGGTCGTATATATATATATATATATAATTTATATATATATATATATAATATATATATATATATATATATATATACATCTTACACGCCAATGTGTTTGACGTAGTAATACACATAAATTCTAGAGGCTTCAAATCAAGCGGGAGAAAGCTGGTAGGCCTACATGTGAGAGAATGAGTCAACTTGATGGGTGTGCGCAGTATAAAAAAAATTGGGGTTTCAGTGGTGCATCGTGGGAACGCCATTTAGTAGTCCTTGTTCACGATGCCTTGCGGTAAGAAGTACCTTACTCCTCGCTGAATTGGAGGTCTTCTGTTCCCATGGAACAGAAGACCAGTGAATAGGGACGTGTAGCAGACGAGGGCATAGTCACTGGTAGGCGAGATTCCCCAGTGGAAGTAGGTCCTTCCTTGAAGGAAGTAGGTCCTTCCTTGAAGGAAGCAGGTCCTTCCTTGAAGGAAGCAGGTCCTTCCTTGAAGGAAGCAGGTCCTTCCTTGAATGAAGCAGGTCCTTCCTTGAAGGAAACAGGTTCTTCCTTGAAGGAAGTAGGTCCTTCCTTGAAGGAAGTAGGTCCTTCCTTGAAGGAAGTAGGTCCTTCCTTGAAGGACCTACTTCCACTGGGGAATCCCGCCTACCAGTGACTATGCCCTCGTCTGCTACACGTCCTTATTCACTGACGCCTATATAAGCGCCAGTCTCCTTACCTGTGCTTCAGAATCTCTACAACCATGGTGCTGTAAACACCACCTCCAAGGCTGAGGGACTGATTACCTCATCTTTTGTACATAGTTCTTCTCTTTTCTAATTATGTCCAAGAATCTGTATTGATAAAGCCACTGGATGGCAAAACATCCAGATAGCCAGATGTTGCACAAGTGTCTTAACTTTCATCTGTCACTCTATGTTGCAAAATTTTTGGAAAAAAACAATTATTTTTTCTTATGAAATGATTGAGAATCTTTTCCCAATGGTAATAACACCAAAAGTACAAAATTTGATCGAAAACTTACAGAATTATGCTCCCGCGAAATTAGTGATCTCCGCGACCAATTCCATTGTACCAGTCAACCAAGCTCATAGCTATTTCTTTAGAACACCATTTTTTCTATCAATTGAGTACAAGAAACTGCCCATTTACCGATTTGAACAACCCAATAAAGTGGTCAGAAATTGGCAATTTGGCCAATTTTGTGCAAATTAAAAAAGATGCCAATTTCAAAATAGGGTCCAGAATAAACAATGTAGACATTCTTGGCACTAAAATAACATATCCTCTGTTCATTAGTCACGTCTCCAGGCCCCTCTTACATTACTCTTGCTTTCTATTTTGATTTTTTATTCACACAAAAAATAGAAGATTTACTGTTATGCAGACTACTGCATTATTGTAAAAATGGTATAAATAATATCAGTGCACTAGTGAAAGAATATTAGACTCCCCAGCTGACGTGTATTGGACGTGTGGTATGATTTGCTTACTCTTGAACGTTGGTAAAAATCGAACATTTCCACTATTTTGAGCTTGATTTCAAGGTAGTTTTCTTCGTGAAACTAATCAAAATCACATCTATTTCTGTAATATGTTTTCTATGCTATCAAATGAGACCAAGAAAACAAGAATACAACAATAAATTCTAAAGGAAAATACACCTCAAAGTTGGCATTTTAATCCAAAAACACAGTTTTTTTTCTCATTATGGACTGCATGCTGAAGGATTTTTTTATACAGTGCACACTGACCACACAGACCCATTCTCTCACATGTGGGCCTACCAGTTTTCTCCTGCTTGATTTGAAGCCGCTAGAATTATTGAGTAGTATATATGTATACATCTGAAACACTGGCTCATAAGACGTATATATACGGCCGAAACAGTCAAAGGGTTAAATCAGATGAGGATCAGGCAAGACTACAAAGAGAACTGGACAGGCTGCAAGCCTAGTCCAGCAACTGGCTCTTCAATTTTAACCCCACCGAATGCAAAGTAATGAAGACTGGGGAAGGGCAAAGAAGACCGCAGACAGAGTAGTATTGGCTAGGTGGACGAAGACTTCAAACCTCACCCAAGGAAAAGGATCTTGGAGTAAGTATAATACCGAACACATCTCCTGAGGTGCACATCAACCAGATAACTGCTGCAGAATATGGCTGCTTGGTAAACCTAAGAATGGTGTTCCAATACCTCAATAAGGAATCGTTCAAGACTGTACACTGTGTACGTCAGGCCCATATTGGAGTATGCAGCACCAGTTTGCAACCCATACCTGGTCAAGGATGTCAAAAAATTAGAGAAAGTGCAAAAGTTTACAACAAGACTAGTCCCAGAGCTAAGGGAAATATCCTGTGAAGAAAGGTTAAGGAAAATCGTCCTGACAACACTGGAGGACACGAGGGTTAGGGGAGACATGATAACGACATATAAAATACTGCAAGGAATTGACAAGGTGGATATAGACAGGATGTTCCAGAGATGGGACACAGAAATAAGGGGTTACAATTGGAAGTTAAAGACTCAGATGAGTCAAAGGGACATTGGGAAGTATTTCTTCAGTGAAAGAGTTGTCAGGAAGTGAAATAGTCTGGAAAGTGACAGAGGCAGCAGGAACCATACATAATTTTAAGACGAGGTATGATAAAGCTCATGGAGCAGGGAGAGAGAGGACCTAGTAGCGATCAGTGAAGAGGCAGGGCCAGGAGCTATGATTCGACCCCTGCGACCACAAATAGACGAGTACTAATAGGTGAGTGTACACACACACACACACACACACACACACACACACACACACACACACACACACAAATCACACACAAATATGCACACACACACACATACACAAAACACAAATAAAGCACATACACATAGTAGTAGTTAACACATGATAGAGTAAGTGGGTTACTATAATGGCTAAATGTGCTAAACCCACAAGAATCACAAGACAAAGGTGACATACACAATAGAACCCCCATATCCATGGATTTGGTATCTGCAGTTTCAGTTATTCATGGTTTACTGTGGGACAAAAATAACTCTTAATTATGCTTAATAATGAAATCAAAGTGCTGGCAGGTCTTCAAACCCTAAGCATTGTTGTGAAGTGCTTCCCATCAGTGAAAATGCTAATTCTAGACTTATTTTGCATAATTTATTAATTAAACTTTATCATGGGTATGTATGTAAATGAAGAATGACCTATATATAGTGTTCATTAGTACCCAGGATTTAAGGTATCCATGGCAGATCTTGGAAGATATTCTCAGCGGATACAGGAAGGGCTACTGTATTCCACTTTACAAGTGAGAACCTCCTCACAGTAATATACCGAGGAGGACATCAAATGCATGGTAAGGTACAGTAGTCTTCCCTCGTACCCACGGCAGATACCTTCTAAGATCTACCCAGGATGCCCAAAGCCCACGACAGTAGTGAACCCCATATACAGTGGACTCCCGGATTTTGTAGTCGTCGGATTTCGTAATACAGCGCATTCGGAAATAGTAACTTTTTTCGTCAAAATATTGGCTCGGTAATCGTCACTGAGCTCGGTAATAGTCATTCCTCCCGAACGCGTCTGCACAGCAACAGCAGCCTGACACTCAGTGTGCCACTGTTTATCAGCCAGTGAGCATGATCCCAAGCATTAATAAAATACATTTCATATTATTTCATTCTTTTTAGTGCTTGCAACTGCTAAATAAGCCACCATGGGCCCCAAGGAGGTTCCCAGTGCCAGTCAGCCCTTTGGTAAAGGGCTGAGAGAGAGGGAAGAATGTG